TTTCCCACAATCATAATAGAGTACAGACTAAAGGTCAGACCACACAGATGTTTTTCTATCTTTTGAAAAACTACCAGAGAAGATATGAACCACTATATTACTCAGATCTCCTCATATGGAGATCTAAATCACAAATTATTTAAGATATAATATCTAGGAAAAAATAATTATTTCCTAAAGAATTAAGATATGCCATCATTATTTTTAAATGTGACAACTTTATAATTATCTTGTCCTTGGTTATGTGGAATAACAGTGAAAAATGCTGAGGTGCCATAACCGTCATCTGTAGATTCCCTTTTTTAAAATATGACTTTTAATATTTATTTTTGACTGTCCTATGACATATATAGCTTTTTGATATTGACTTCAACCTGTGTTTGATGAGATAATCTTTTAAAAACTTTTTTATTATGGAAATTTTCCACCACACACAAAAGTAGAACAGGGTATACATTTTTAAATGTGCAAGGAACCATGAGCACTATAAAGATAGAAAAAACACTGGTTTTATCTTGAAAGAATGTCTAGTTTACTAAAAGAAATATGATTTCTTCAGATATAACTATAGTGTGAGGCAGCCTGTGTTCCTTACCTTTTGCGTGATACTCAGAGTGCTAAGCAGGGAGAGCATTTCAGGCCTGTGGTCTGTTAGAGAAGGCTCCATGCAATGGGTAGCATGAAACAGAATTTCAGTAGGTTTAGAAAAATGATGAAATGCTTATTTATAGTACTTCCCTCCACCCCTCCAGCCCATCTGTATTAGCCATCTGTATTTGGTTATATTTGCAGTGCTTAACAATTTGTCATTGGCTGCAATTTCCGCACATATCCTTTCATCTTTAATCTATTTATGAGGAGTAGGTATAATGTGGCCACTCATGCCTTTGCACCAGGCTTCTTAACCTCCAGAAATGTTTTTGCAGATTTTGACCCAGCTTATGGTATACTTCATTTGATGTGTACTGTAGCAACCTAGCATTCTTTACACAAGACACCGTATTTGATAAACAAGCCATATACATCATCCACCTGCAGCCTGCACAGATGAGGAGCCATGCCTGGATTGCAGATCTAGAAATGCAACTGTTCAGTTTACCCAGGGATAGCGAGGCTAACTCACACAGACTAAACTTAGACTAGTGTATAAATAAGAATGCCAATCTATTAATTTATAATGGAAAATATTAATTTTCCATAACCAAACATTAAGTATATGCTATCAAATATGCACAAATTACCTTCACCAAGAAGACTCCTGGTGAACAAGACATCAAAGACAAAACATCCCTGGGAGACACTCCCTCTCCTAAGAATTCAGAACATCTAGCACTGCTCCTTCATTTTACAAACAAGGAGATTGAGGATCAGAAAGATTAAGTGATTTGTTCAAGGTTGTTGTGTAACAAGGCAGTCGGGGACCTGGGGCTGTTATTACAAGCATTTATATGAATTCTGTAGCACCACTGCTGACATTAATTCTGATCTCTCAACAGAGAACAGAGAAAACGCAAGTGGCAGAGAACAGGAAAAGGAAATCAAAGAGGCAGAAAAAGACAACGAAATACAGAACTGAAGGTGGAACCTCAGTCACAAATAGAAAAGGAAATTATGGAACAAGCACTGGCATCTACAGAGAAAGAAACTGAGCTACCTGGGAGTGTGAGTGAAGCCCTTCCTTCGGTAGCCTCCCTGCAAAAAGTTGTGCCCAAGAAACATTTTTCTGAAATACATCAAGAAAGCATTATAAATCAAGAAAATTCTTCTGAGTACCAAGAAGTAGTAGTACAAAACCATTCTTCTGAAACGTGCGAACAAATGGCTGAACCTGAAAACCGCACTCCTAAAATGTGTCAAGAAATAGCTGTACTTGAAGACCATCCTCTCAAAATGTGCCAGGATACAGCTAAGCCTGAAGACCTCACTCCTAAAATGTGCCAAGAAACAGCTGTACTTCAAGACCGTCCTCTCAAAATGTGCCAGGATACAGTTAAGCTGGAAGACCTCGCTCCTAAAATG